TGCTTTTAAATTCTGAGTAATTTTAATCTAAAGTTTCAAGATGTGAAAACTCGAGATAAAGCTAGTGGTAGCGTCGTGAATTTGACATCGACATGAACATATACACACATCAAGTATCATGTCATCATGTCAAACGGTTATATTTTTATTTTATGCACTTGGCGTCGCGACGCTACCGCGTCGCTTGATTATTTAAAAGTACAATAAAATGTATTGACGATTTCATCTGTTTTAATATTTATGTATTATATATTAAGCTCTTTATATTCATGTATTATATTAAGCATCTTACATCAATTTACATACAAATTTACGACTTTAATGCGCACCGAGTGCATTCAATCGAATTCATTAATACACACAAAACTTCAAATTTTGTACTTACACATCGATTGCACGTTTGCAATTTTGCATTGTAAGAAATATTCTTGTAGCATGTAATAGATTTAACTTCTGAAATATATTAGTTACTACGCTATTATATATAATATTTGTTCATATTAAAATTCAATTGACTTTAATATTGATATATGTAATTATGATAATAAGTTATATAATTGCCATTCAATTCGAATAAGAAATGGTCTAATGCACAGAACGTAATTTTTTTATAGTTATAAATATGTTTTATAAATAAAAATTATAATATTTGTGTTTCTGTATAAAATTCTAGTCATGATTATTTATTTATTGCATTTAAATCTACGCATTTGTCCATGCAATATATTCGATTTAGATTTGTGCGTTAACACATTTGTTCTCTTATATCTACTTACGCATTTTTTTGTAGATATGGGAAAAGGTATTATTAACATTGATGATTTGACTGTAGAGCAAGATGTACCTGTGTACAGTATATACACGAGAATTAGAACGTTACAATATACAACGATGTTGCAAATGTTTTCTGATATTATGGACGACTACAATGCTTCGTTAATGAAATACCATGATAAGTGCCTCTTACTATTGCAACAGCAACGTTCACTATGTATGTATTCACCAAAAATCAAGATGTATGCATTCTTGTATCAAGACATATGTACTATACATATATATATGTATATAAATATATACATACATACATACATACATCATACATACACACACACATACATATATACATACATACACTTAATACTGTATTGTTATATTAAATTTAAATTGAGACTAATTAAAAAATTCTTTATAATATGTGTGTGTGCATGTGTATATATATATATATATATTATTTATTAATTCAACTATTTGTTCAATACAGTAAGGCGACAAGTTACAAGCGAGGAATTGGATTACATGCTGGATGCTCAACAAACTAGCTTATTTGTCGATAATGTAAATATGAATTTACTATTACAATAGTATTTATTACAAACCTTTTCATTCAAATATCTCATTAATTATGTGCAGATTTTAGAAGACAGTAAGATAGCTAGGCAACAATTATCAGATATAACAAGTAGACATAATGATGTTCTAAAATTGGAAAAATCTCTCATGGAAGTCAGAGATATGTTTACAGAAATAGCTTTTCTAATCGAAAAACAGGTGAGTGTGTAAGCTAATAACAAAATTAGATCTTATGAATTATGCAGCATTACTAAACGGGCAACATAGAAAATATCACATTTAGAATCTTTTTCTATAGGGGGAACAAATAAATAATATAGAATTCTTTGCAAATAAGACCACAGATAATATCGATGGTGGATGTGTTCAACTCAGGAAGTCAGAACAGAGGAGTCACAGTTATAGAAAGGTATAAATATTTTAAACACTTATATACTTAGTTATCTTTAGTAGCATGACATTTAATAATTTTATTATTCTTACAGCGAAAAATCAAGATCGCTATTATCATAAGTATAATAGTGATATTATGTCTTTTATTTATTATAGCATCATTTTAAAAACTATCTTATAAATATAATCTTATAATTTTATGAATGCAGTTTATTTTAAAATATTTAAATATTGATATTAATTATGAATAAAAACGTATAAATAAATTTACATAATTACAATTTACAATAATCTTTTGTTAATATTTATGTACTTTTTGTAGTAGTTTACTAGTGCTTTTGCACGGGGTCTCAATAGGTAACAATTTGTGGTACATGCAAAAAATATTTCCAATACCCTTTCATAATCTTTGCCCAAATCAATATTAGATACTGCTGGACGTGTACCTATATAAAATCAAATTTTTGTTTTATTAATTTAATTTGTACCAATTTATTTCAAATAACATAAAAACAAGAATATTTCAAGTTATTATTTACCAAATTCAGAGTACTTTTCCCTCTTTCTAAAAGTCTCACTTTTGTTCATGCTAGCTTCAGATTTATCGCTACTAGATTCATCGTTACTAGATTCATCGCTACTAAATTCATCGCTTAAATCTTTACAGTGAGGTGATGATAAAGTTAACATTTCCCAAAGGACAAGGCCATATGACCAAATATCAGCAGCACCTGTCACTGGTCCATTTTCTGTAAAAAAAAATTAACAATCTTTTTTTAAATCAATAGTAAATACCATAAATCAAATATAAATATAGAACATGAGTGTAGCATGATAGACTGCGCAGTAATCTGTTATGCCAGAGATCCCGAGTTCAATCCCTGGCATAAACCAAAATATTTATGCTCATGTATCCTCTCGAGAAAGATCGACAACCTCCCGAGAGTATTCTTGCTCACAGAAAGACATCTCGAAAAATTCGTCGTTCGAAACTGGCATTAAAACTGTGGGTCCCATATGCTTATGACAACTGAATAAGCAATGTGCGCACCACAAACATATCAGAAAGAGGTGTAACCAGATCAGAAACTTAACGTAAGAAGAATTAACACATAAATGAAACAAGCAAACGTACCAAATATAATCTCAGGAGGATTCCAAGGCCGTGTTCCAACATAAGAAAAATCACCCTTCGACGTATCCAGTTTTAAGGATTTTGTCAAGGGTAAAGAATTTCCAAAGTCACCTAGTTTAATCGTGTTGAGATCATGGGTCACCAAAATGTTCCAACTTTTGATATCTCCATGTAATATGTGTACATTATGATGTAAATACTCAACACCTTTTATAGTTTCAAAACCGACTCTCATGATACTCTCGGGTGAGAATGGTTTCTTCCCAAAGCTCTCCTCCCGTCTCTCCTCAATTTTGTCACCTGATTAATTATGTTAATATCAATACAGACACATCTTAAAAATGTTCAAGTTAGTTCTATAAATACCAAGTGATGTATCCAGTGCTTCCATAGCTAAGCAAGGTTTTCCATCTACTCCTTTGATGAACGCTCTGAAACCAATGACGTTGGGATGATCCAACTGTCGTAGGATCTCGGCTTCAAAATGAAGACGTTCATCTATAATTGTCTCGCTCCTTCCGTTTAGCAATTTTTTTACTGCCCATGGGGTGAGTACTTGAGAGTCTGCTTTGGAAGATCTTTCAAACTTGTATATTCCGACTCCTAAGAGAGGGCATAAAAATAATCGATTGGAATAATGCACAAATTTTAGATGAAGAACCGCGTGTTATAGTAAACGTATTGTCTCAGAGATGCTTAACATTAAAAAACAGAGTAACAGTCTTAACCTACAGACAGACACAGAGAGTCTTCATAAATCATATATGCATATTATAAACAATGTTTGACTTTGCATTACCAAGAGCTTACGCAATTTAATTTCGCACGCCGAAGCAGTCTGACGGTTATTTTTCCTTTTTGTATATTTTGGACGAATTACATTTACAATGTGATAACAATTTTACTGTCATTGAAATAATAATTTTGACGACATGGAATTCTAAATTTTCTACAGTAAAGGGTACAGTGAGTTTATATCAGAAGAGCAATTTGCTTGTCTCAATATAGTTTTTTAGAAACGCAATTTTGTGTCCATATTAGAACCACTAGGATATTTCACGGACGATCATCCAATCGCTTGAAGAACACTGTTGTTTCTCCTGACAAAATACTCAATTTTTCCAGACTTGACTATAAGTCTATAACTACTTTTTCGACACATCTTAAATTTACTGCGTTATTATAAAATTTTTATTGCGTCAATATTGCGACATCTGAGGATGGCTCAAACACAGATCCGAAACGTTATGTTTTTTAATTTTTAATTAACTTTTTTAATTTTCAATTTGCTTGTATTCGTAGAACTGTTTAGCATATTATTATTATGATTTATTTTATGGGATTAAATATATTGCATCATGTGATGATTTTGCAGATAGAATTTATGTTTTTTGACTCTTATTTGCCTTTTTCTTTGTTTGTTTATGAAAATAATCCACTTTGTCCATTGTAGAGAAAACTCATTAATCTATTACATTTTATATGTAACGGACTATGCTGGAGGAAATAACACATAATCTATGATTTGACAAATGCAATTTGTCGAATGCACGAAATATTGTTTAGTGGAACCTTCTTGTTACTTTTTGTTAAAATCGGGACATTTGATATATTTAGTGGAACAACGAGACATGCACAAAAAACAAGAGTTTTATTGAAATCAGACCATTTGACTAAAGGAGGTTTCACCTTTGCAGGCATAAAAAATTGAAATTTTTTTCCTTATTTTGATTCCTACATGTGTGTAAAATATTCCTGTAAAAAGATTTTTCAAAATTCGTAATATTAACGGAGCTGTAAGTACAAATATGTAAGTGCACAAGGAGCCTCTAAGTGCTTACCAGCGCAGTAGCTACACAGTGATACGTCAGAATCGTCAAAAGAAGCCAGAACAGCTCGGCAATTAGAGAGACCAATGGAAAATGAATTTTATGAAAACGATAAAGAATTATCATATGGCCCTCGTATTGCAGAGTAATCGTAAGTGCACTAAGAAACTTATGTGGAAAAAGTCAAACCTAAACTTTAAATACGTTTTTCGACCTCATGGAACTGATAACTCAAAAATGGATTAAGATATTGACTTAATTCTTTTTTCCTCTTGATCCTAATACTTTTACGTATAGCACGAACCAGAATCATGATTTTACAACAAATATTCGATTTGTTATTCACAAAAAAGTAACAAATGTTAAGGAAAAAAGTTAATTTCTTTTTCATTGCTACCATTTTTACAAATTTCAGGCAATTGACATTATTTTGATTCATGCCATAGTAACAATTACATAATTAATAAAAATAAAAAGAAAGCTGATTTCAGATGATTTGCAGTCAATATTACTTCCGTCATGGAGACATGTTTTGCAGATGACCCCTAATTTGATCGCCATTTGGAGAAATTAAAATGCACATTTATCTAGTAAAAAATATTTTTTTAACATGCTTAAATATAACATAACTTTATGCAAAAACACGTATTGTTCTATGTATAATAAATTTTCTTTAAAAAATTCATGAAATTAAGCTAATTTTACAGCTGGCAAAGGTGAAATCTCCTTAAGGCTACATTTCAAAGTGTTTGCTCTGAAGAAACTTTTACTCGAAATAACATAGCTACAGTATAATATTATGAACAAATGTAAATATAGACCTAAGAATGAATCTAATAACATAATACGTTACACGCATGTATTATATTTCAAATAAAATTTTCCTCGAAAGAAACACATCTTAGAATATAACATAAATAAATGTAACAAACAAATTTGTTAAATACATACCAGTACCATAGCCTATCTGTTCCAGAAAAGGTGAAGCTGGTATTTGTATGGGAGTACTTGATCCGGCTTTGTTGTTTGTCCTTTTTTTTACTGGTGTATAGGACTGTTCTATTGTTAGAATGTTTTAACAAAGAATACATTTAAAAATGTTTTGTCTTAAGAATCTACACAATATAATACAGTACATTATGATATAACACTGTAATATATGTGTGTGTGTGTATATATATATATATATATATACACACACATACGCATGCACGCATACAGACAAGCACACTCTAAAATTGATTTTTAATATATACATATATATATGTTTTATGATATATTTACAATATTATATTTTGAGTAAAATTTTTTTCAAAAATATCTTAGAATATAAAGTAAATATAACGAGGGAATTTGTGAAATACATACTATTATGAACATGTCGCAGGTAAGGCGAAACTGATGTTTTTTCAGGAGTATTTAATTTGGCTTTATCTTTCTTCTTCTTTCTCAGAGGTGTACAAGACTGTTCTGCTGAAATCAGGAGTCTAATTAAAAGTACGAATATTAAAAATAATAAAATAAGAGAAAAACATTCTCTGTAAGAACAAAATGTGGTATTATAATTATGAAGAGAAGCTCCGACATCACCGAGATTTTATAGAAATATTAATTTTTAAATTTCGTGCAATCTGTTGATCGAAGAGTAACCAAGCGCATGCGCATGTGATCAGAGAGCATGAAGAAGGCTATACTGTATGTAGTCTGTATGACAGATTTCCTAACCTGAATAGTCGTCAACTTTAACGCTTAATATCTCGGTTCATAGGGCAGAGCGACACTTTTTTTCTACCAGATTCTTTCGTTTCGTGTAAAAACGCGTCGAATGAGCCTAATTTCATTAAAATCGGTGAGGTCGGAGCTTTATCTTCATAATTACCAAAACTGTTACTCAATATAAAACATTATGATATAATAAACTATAAAAAAAAAAAGACGTAAATACGGCTCAAAGAATGTATCTAATAATACAAGTTACATATACTATATTTGGAATAAAATTTTCCTCGAAGAATACGTTTTAGAATATAATCAAAATGAATATAACGAATTTGTTATATTAAAAACATACTGGTAGATGATATGCTGTACACAGATAAACATAGTTATATTTATATAAATTATGTTTATCTGTGTACAGCATATCACGTGTTTTTATAGACGTACCTAATTTGATTTTGTTTTTCAACTTTTTTTTCAGTAGTGCACGTGGTGTATCAAACTCAGCCATCCTCTTACTATTCAAAATTCCGAATAAAATTGTGAAAACAACAGAGAGAAAGACACTGCAAGTGGCTCAGTATTGAGATACTACCGTCTTAAGAGAAGAGAATGGATTACGCATCGCATAAAGACGTTTAGATCGTTACTTCCAAACATTTGAATCTTGTTGAAACTGCGCAAGCGTATAAAGTGCGATTATAGAGGTCTGTTTTTTGTTTCTACACTGTTTGAACTAGTGCACACGGTGCAATAAGTTAGAATGAAACAAACGTATATTTGTTTCACTTCAACTTATTGCACCATGTGTACTAGTTCAGACAGTGCAGGAATAAACAGACGGTAGGTCTGTTCACGTTGGCTGAGAATTGCGAACTTGCGGACTTATGGTGCTTTTTGATGCGCAGCACGCTGCAGCAGCAATTCGTTAAGCGGGGAGCACAGACTTTTGCATAACGCATAAACCATGTACATTAAGCGGGGAGCACAGATTTTTGCATAACGCATAAAGCATGTGCATAAGGAATTTCATTGGTCCATTTTCTTATGCATGAGTCAATGGCCCAATCAAATTCTTTAAGCGGGGAGCACAGACTTTTGCATAACGCATAAAGCATGTACATAAGGAATTTCATTGGCCCATTTTCTTATGCATGAGTCAATGGCCCAATCAAATTCTTTAAGCGGGGAGCACAGACTTTTGCATAACGCATAAAGCATGTACATAAGGAATTTCATTGGCCCATTTTCTTATGCATGAGTCAATGGCCCAATCAAATTCTTTAAGCGGGGAGCACAGACTTTTGCATAACGCATAAAGCATGTACATAAGGAATTTCATTGGCCCATTTTCTTATGCATGAGTCAATGGCCCAATCAAATTCTTTAAGCGGGGAGCACAGACTTTTGCATAACGCATAAAGCATGTACATAAGGAATTTCATTGGCCCATTTTCTTATGCATGAGTCAATGGCCCAATCAAATTCTTTAAGCGGGGAGCACAGACTTTTGCATAACGCATAAAGCATGTACATAAGGAATTTCATTGGCCCATTTTCTTATGCATGAGTCAATGGCCCAATCAAATTCTTTAAGCGGGGAGCACAGACTTTTGCATAACGCATAAAGCATGTACATAAGGAATTTCATTGGCCCATTTTCTTATGCATGAGTCAATGGCCCAATCAAATTCTTTATGTATATGGTTTATGCGTTATGCAAAAATCTGTGCTCCCCGCTTAACGAATTGCTGCTGCAGCGTGCTGCGCATGAAAAAGCACCTTAAGGCTGATATTTCATGTGTCGTACGACAAGCTTGTCGGGTGTTCCGATTGGCTACTGACGACACATAAGTGGGGAGCTTCCGTCGAAGATTTACCAGCATTCTTGTCGAAAGAAAGTTGGGCAAGATCGAACATTTTTCGACAGTCGTTGCAATAGTTTATTACCTAGACACATTTAAACATAACCCATCACTCACAAGCCGGTAAAAATGAATGAAAAAATAATGAACATTGAAAACTATATGTAAACATACCATTTTTTGTTTCTATAGAATATTTAATATTATAAAGTTACTTATCTACATAAAATGCTATATGCACAAATAGATTGTTAAATTTCCGGTATCAACGTGCTTAAAAAGTTTGTCAATAGTCACATGAAATATCGAGCTGAGTGCGATCAAAACAGGTTAAAATATCAATTTATGTCGAAACAACAGATTTTAATGACAACAAGTATATTATACATATACGACAAAATATTGTCGTACGAACGACCGCATGCGCACTAGCAGCCAATCAGTACGCCCGACAAAGCTTGTCGTACGACACATGAAATATCAGCCTAAGGGTGCTGTCCCATGATATGGAAATTACACCGGAACGGAACAGTGAGACCAATCAGATCTCTGCAATCATTACTCCACTTTCCTTTCCGCGATTGTGATTGGTCTCACTGTTCCGTTCCGGTGTAATTTCCGTATCATGGAACAGCACCCTAAGCCCGGATCCTCATACGGGCAACAGCGCTTTGACATAAAACGCTGATTGGTGAAAAACCGGTGGCGAGGGTAAAATTTACCCCCATAACCCATTTTTCACCAATCAGCGTCCGGTGTCAAAGTGCTGTTGTCCGTATGAGGATCCGGGCTAAGGGTGCCGTCACATACAGCCCGTAATCCGTAATCCGCACCGGATGTCCGCAAAAGTTGCTAGGCATTGCGTCCGTAACGTTACGTGTATTTTATCTCCTTATGTCCCATGGAGCCGTAATTCCGTAAAAGTTACCAGTTTTTACTAGTAATGCTTTTTCTAATTTTATCTAATTGACTAAATTTGACGGTTTAAGTAAAGTTTTTGTTATAATCAAGATATATTCTGCAGTTTTCTTATGAAATAAGTTAAAAATAATCAATATAACTTGTTAAATAAAAAAATAATGTAAAGCATTACTAGTAAAAACGAGTAACTTTTACGGAATTACGGCTCCATGGGACATAAGGAGAATAGTAAGCAGCCAGAAGAGTCTCTTCAATTCGATATTTTGAGAAGCATTAATGCCAATTAACTGTTTAGTTAACAGTATGCCACAGCTGCAAATTATGCATAACGCAAAGGGAGAAAAAAATGAAACTAACAAACTTTCTATTTAAAAATAAAAAAATTTTTTTTTAACATTACGGCAGTTCTATTGACAGTTCTGGATAGCACCCCAAGAGTTCTATTAAAAGTTATTAGCATTTAAAGCGCTATGACTAATGGTTTAGAAGATATCGCGATTTTTCGTTGTGCGTTTTGTGAAGTTAGCACCCCAAATTTTAAATTTTTAGTGTTAATTCGCCAGAACTATTTTTTATTTTAGGCAGGAACTTCAGAACTCTTCGGGGTGCATTCAGAACTCTGTCGGAAATTTCATTTTTTTAAAAATGAGGTGCCAACTTCACAGAGGTTTTTCCGGATGAGTGTGAGCTAACAACAAAATTATATCACATGAATTATGCAGCATTTATTAAACGTGCAACATAGGAAATATCACATTTATAATCTTTTTCTATAGAGGGAACAAATAAATAATATAGAATTCTTTGCAAATAAGACCACAAATGACATCGATATGGTGGATATGTTCAACTCAGAAAGTCAGAGCAGAGGAGTCACAGTTACAGAAAGGTATAAATACTTGATGCTTAAGATCGCTATTATCATAAGTGTAATGGGCCTTCTACAATAAGTCATAAGTCATAAATCGGAAGTAAGAAACTAAAAATTGACGACTGTGATTGGTCCATTTCTAGCTTATGACTTATAATTTGTGACTTACGGCTTATTGTAGAAGGCCCATAATAGCGATATGATGTCTTTTATTTGTAGCATCATTTTAAAAACTGTCTTATAGATATAATCTTATAATTTTATAAATGCAGTTTATTTTAAAATATTTAAATGTTGATATTAATTATGAATAAAAACATATAATTAAATTTACATAATTTAATTATAACTTACAATTATTTTTCATCACGCGTGCACGTAATGTACCCTATAACGCAACGCTTTTGCGCGCGGGAAATAGCCAATAACACAAAATTATCAAAATTAATGCAGTGATAGCGCTCAAACAAATATCAACACTGAGAAACGCACCGACTGGAACGCCCTTTCGGGACATTTCACGTAAATATAGTGTTCTAACAATAAAAAGATTATCAACTATGACAATAGAGTACCTAAAATATTATTTGACATAATAACGTTTAGATAAAACTATAATAGTAAGTATGATATACCAGAAAGTAATTTTCGAAAAAATTAAAATTTTTTTTTCAGTGGGGGCCGAGCACCCCCGAACTCTCACCGCTTCCTGCGCTGCACGCACCATGAGCAAAGCTCGTGCGACTTTATAATTATATAGCACATTACTAGCACAGTGCACTCGTGATGAAAAATTCTATATACTGTTCTAATGTACTAAAAATTTTAACGTACTATTTTGTCCACATCTGCAAAATGTTCGTAAGAGTTCACTAGTGCTTTTGCACTGGGTCTCAATAGGTAACAATTTGTGGTACACGCAAAAAATATTTCCAATACCTTTTGATAATCTTCGCCCAAACCATTAGATATAGCTGGACGTGTACCTATATAAAATCAAATTTTTGTTTTATTAATTTAATTTGTACTAATTTATTTCAAATAACATTATAATTAACAAGAATATTTCAAATTGTTATTTACCAAATTTACAGTTCCTTGTCCACTTTTGCCTTCTTGTGTTAATACTAGCAAATTCATCGCTACTACTAGAATCAACGCTTATATTTTCAAGGTGAGGTGTTGATAAAGTTAACATTTCCCAAAGGACAAGGCCATATGACCAAATATCAGCAGCACTTGTCACTGCAGGTCTATTTTCTATAAGAAAAATTTAACAATTTTTTTAAATCAATCGTAAATACCATGGGCGTCCACAGGGGGGGGGGGGGGCAAGAAGGGGCATTTGCCCCCACCCTGGACGACAGGCGCGTGCGCGCCGAAAAGCGTGTGCTGAGATCTTAACGCGCCTTTTCATGTTGACACTTTGTTCATTTTTAGCGTCAAAATAAATTACGTACTCAAATAATTGACGATTCATAGTCATCGATATTATTCTTCCGATTTTAAACGGAGCCATTACATAAATACTCAATTTCACAGAGACAACACTTTGGATATATGTAAGATTATTGTTTGTCTGGTCTCAGATATGCTCACAAAACATCAATATGGATCCGAAAATAGATTTCGTTTTAAATGCCTACTGTCTTTGCGGAAACTCGAATTAGCTGTGTATTTCATCATATAATTATGATGTAATCATACTATATACCTACTTGAATATTACATGAAATATGTAAAGTTTATGAAAAATATGTATTTTATGCAGATAATATGTTTGATTTATGCAAAATATGCATTTTATGCAAAATATTCACTTAAATCTTTTTGCATAAATATCCGCAGTCTAAAAATTATATATATGTAATAATATTATTATTAATATTACTATTATTCATAAAAAAAAAATAAAATAACCTATGTATTTAAACTTGTACATTGGTATAAAGGCAATTTATTAACTATATAATATTACTATTATTATTATATTTTGTATCATGTCCCCTCTTGGAAAAAATCCTGTGGACGCCCATGGTAAATACCATAAATCAATTATAAATGTAAAACACGAGCGTAACATGACAGACAGCGTACTAGTCTGTTATACCAGAGATCCCTGGTAGAAACCAAAATATTTATACTCGTGTATTTTCTCGGCAAAAATCGGCAACCTCCCGAGAGTATTTTTGCTCACAGAAACACTTCAAAAAATTCGTCAGTCGGAACCAGTATTAAAACTGTAAGTCCCATATGTTCGTGACAACTGAATAAGCAATGCGCATACCACAAGCATATGAAAGAGAGGTGTAACCAGATCAGAAACCTAACGTAAGAAGAATCTTCATATCACATAACTGAAACAAGCAAACGTACCAAATATAACCTCAGGAGGATTCCAAGGCCATGTCCCAGTATAAATATAATTACATGTTGACGTATCCTGTTCTAATGATTCTGTCAGGGGTAAAGAATTTCCAAAATCGCACAGTTTAATTGTGTTGAGATCATTGGTCACCAAAATGTTCCAACTTTTGATATCTCCATGTAATATGTGTGCATTATGATGTAAATACTCCAGACCTTTTATAGTTTCAAAACCGACTATTATAATGTCGTTAGCTGAGAATGGTTTCTTCCCTAAGTACTTCTTCCGTCTCTCCTCAATTTTGTGACCTGATTAATTATGTTAATATCAATACAAATACATCTTAAAAATATTCAAGTTAATTATATAAATACCAAGTGACGTATCCAGTGCTTCCATAGCCAAGCAAGGCTGTCCATCTTCTCCTTTGACGAACGCTTTGAAACCAACAACGTTGGAATGATCCAATTGTCGTAGGACCTCGGCTTCAAAATAAAGATGTTCTTCTATACTTGTGTCGCTCCATTTATTTTGCAATATTTTTACTGCCCATGGGGTGAGTATTTTAGAGTCTGTAGAGGAACGTCTTTCAAACTTGTATACTACAACTCCTAAGAGAGGACAATAAAAATTATCCACTTTGTTCATTGTAGAGAAAACTCATTAATCCGTTACATTTTGTATGCTGGAGGCAATAACACATAATGATTTTACAATTTGACAAAAGCATGAAATATTGTTTAGTGGGACCTTCTTGTTACTTTTTGTTAAAATTGGGACATTTGATATATTTAGTGGAACAGCGAGACATGTACAAAAAACAGGTGTTTCATTGAAATCAGACCATTTGATTAAGAGAGGTTTTACCTTTGCAGGCATAAAAAAAATAAAAAAATTTTTTCTTCCTTATTTTTATTCCTATACGTGTGTAAAATACCCCTGTAAATAGAATTTTCAAAATTCGTAATATTAACGGAGCTATGAGTCCAAATATGTAAGTGCGCGAGGGGCCTCTAAGTGCTTATCGGCGCTGCAGCTACGCAGTTGTACGTCAGAATCCTCAAAAGAAGAGCTATAAAAGCTGGATGGTTGAAGAGATTAACGGAAAATGAATTTTATTAAATGAAGACGATGAAGGATTATTGTAAGGCCCTGGTATTGCAAAATAATCGTAAGTGCACTAAAAAAATTTGTTATATGTGGAAAAAGTCAAACCTAAACTTTAAACGCGTTTTTCTCAAAACCACATTTTTTGATCTGACGGAACTAATAACTTAAAAATGGATTAAGATATTGTCTTAATTATTTTTTTCTTTTGATCCTAATACTTTTGCGTATAGCACGAACCAGAATCATGATTTTACAACAAACATTCGATTTCTTATTCACGAAAAAGTAACAAATTTTAAGGAAAAAAAAATTTTTTTTTCAATGCTATCATTTTTACAAATTTCAGGCAATTGACATTATTTTGGTTCATGCTATAGCAACACTCATATAATTAATAAAAATGAAAAGAATGTTGAATTCAGATGATTTGCAGTCAATATATTACTTCCGTCATAGAGACATGTTTTGCAGATGACTCCTGATCATTTGGAGACATTAAAATGCATATTTATATAATAAAAAAAAATATTTTTTTTAATGTTTGTAATAATGCTCAATACGTTTTTAACAACTAATATAGAGAAACAGGGCAATGAGCCAATAAATTACGTTAAAAATCTTTTTAAATTAATTAAATATATTGCAAAGAATATCACGTAATTATGGCGTTTCGTCAAAATTTTTTTTAACATGTTTAAACATAACAAACAGAACCCGTATTGTTTTATATATAATAAATTTTCTTTAAATAATTTATGAAGTTGATATTATTTTACAGCTGGCAAAGGTGAAACCTCCTTAAGGGTACATTTTGAAGTATTTGCTCTGAAGAAACTTACTCGATATAGCATATCTATAGTATATTATAAAAAAAATATAAATACGGCCCTAAGAATGAATCTAATAACATAATATGGTACACCTGTGTGTTACATTTTGAATGAAATTTTCCTCGAAGGAAACACCTTAGAATGCAGAGATCGGCAAAAGATTAATATTAAATTAATGATTATAAATTACATGATTAATCAAGTAATCTGAATAGAAAATTTTTATTATTTGATTAATCAAGTAATCGGAATAAAAAATTTTTAATTACCTGATTAATCAAGTAATCGGAATAGAAAATTTTTATTATTTGATTAATCAAGTAATCGGAATAAAAATTTTTTAATTACATGATTAATCAAGTGTAATCGGAATAAAATGAAATTAATAAATATACCTTAATTCCGTCGTCTGCTCCTGTAGAAAAGGTGTTTAGTTTCGCTACTATGTTCGACATCGCGAAATTTAATCGTCTTACAGACGAAAATTTTGAAAAAAGAGTGCTTTGTAAAGCCAATAATATTAACAAATAAAAATAACTTATATCTTACACTTCCATTGTTATTTATTAATTTCATTTAATTCCTACACTTCCTCATTTTCCTATAATATAATAATAATCTTACTGTATTAATTGTAATATACTTTAATTTTTAATTACTTTAATTACACTCTTAATTTTTATTTATGATTGTTTTGTTGAATGCGGATTAATATTTTATATTAACTATTTATTAATTAAGCAATCATGACAAAATAATTTTTTATTACTTCCGATTTTGAGTATGATAATACGAGATATATTTATTTTAATTAATCGATTAATCAAGTAATTGAAACATTTTATTTTGATTGCTCGATTAATCGAATAATATAAATGTTGTATTCCGATTACTTGATTAAATCAGGTAATTAAAAAATTTTTATTTCGATTACTTGATTAATCAAATAATAAAAATTTTCTATTCCGATTACTTGATTAATCAGGTAATTAAAAAATTTTTATTCAGATTATTTGATTAATTAAATAATAAAAATTTTCTATTCCGATTACTTGATTAATCAAGTAATTAAAAAAATGTTATTCAGATTTCTTGATTAATCATGTAATTTGTAATCATTAATTTAATATTAATCTTTTGCCGATTCCTGTTAAAATGTAACATAAATAAATATAACAAAGAAATTTGTAAAATACATACCAGTACCACTAGCTATCTGTTCCAGAAAAGACGAAGCTGGTATTTTTATAGAAGTACTTAATTCGCATCCGTCTTTTTTCCATTGTTCTATTGTTAAGGCGTTTTAACAAAGGATACATTTTAAAATGTTTTCTCTTAAAAATCTACTCAATATAATATAGTACATTATGATATAATACTGTAATATGTACACTCTACTCGCATTAATTACCTAAAGCATCACCTCTCACACCTTCGAAAAATTAATAAACTTTAAATAAGTGTATCTTCTACAAAAATGGTCAAAATGAGGCTTTCAAAAAAGCATTTTGTAGCTTGAAATCTCTACTTTCGAAGTTTATAATTGAAATTTCAATATGACCGATACTTTACGGAGTTATACGGACACAAATGGATATCCGTCAAATCTAAAAATTTTTCACAAATTTTACAAAGGTCTATGGCCTGAGATAAAAATTACACAAAAATGCGGTTTGCAGCATTGGAAAGAGTGAATCTTTATCTTTAATTTCTTTTTTTACTAAATGTTGTACGATTTTTTTTCACCGAGTTATTCAACATTGAATTAAAAATGGTCCGTTTGACTTTGACTGTTCATAAAAGACGAACGGAGTGACGTACAGCATTTTTTAAAAAACAAAAAAAAAGTTCAATGTTTTCTCCTTAAAATGCTTTTATCGATTTGTAGCAACAGATAAGCTTTTTATGTAAAAACTTAAATATGAAAGGTGAAATTGAAAACTGAGGCAATTATCCGTTTCTATTCGACTCGATCTATTCTGGTCAAAAGAGAGAGAGCAACTCTGATAATTAACGTAATTTTACACTTTAGGGTCTACTAATTTCCACGAGACTTATACGAAACAATCGCGACATTTTTAAACTAATATCCTTCATGTTCGAAGTTACGATTTTGGGCAAGACGGCATTCGCTGTATTGAAATTAATTTTATATCGCAGCATGCGATCACACCGCTGGCATTAGCCCCAGATAGCCAACCCAGTCAAAAGCACGCATTGCAAATTTATGCTACATATTATAATGACAAAAATCGAGCAGCAATCGAACACGTTTACCGTTTCAATATAGCGATAACAGAAATACAGCAAAAATAGAGCAGACCTGCGTCATAATACACTAGCAAAAATTCTGTAAAAATTCATCAAACGATTGCCGAAATAAAGCAAGCAGAAATCGAGCAATACATGCTGGCAAAATAATTTAACAAAAAATAGATCAAAACTTGATATAAAACATGACTGCATGTTAAATCAGCAAAATGTAAAAATTTGGCACACTCGCTGTAATATTATGACAGTAAAAAGGCGGTAAAAATATCGTACGATCTGATATATCAACTACTGACAGCAAAAACGCATCAAAAATCGAGCACAGCCTGCCGTCACGTCGTGACTACAAAAAACCGCGACATTATAATATTTTATTATATAATTATTCAAATAATATTTTATACATATGTAAGATATCAACTAAGATCTACGTGTTGGGCTGTGTGGCTCCGTGGCAAGACGGTAGCTTTGCGTTACGAACTAGTACGAGGTCCTCGGTTCGAGTCCCGGCATCGCGTCGAGCGTCCGACATTTTTTCTCGGCCCATCTCTTACACATACATCTATGGAATTTTGTGTAATTTATGTAATATGAGATAAATGTAATAAATTTTGAAAATATATATATGGGGCATTCCACGTCAATGGAAGACCCCCTCTGTCCAAAATTGGTATGGACGGATTTGAACGTTCGACCCCGGAAAATGTTCGTCTTAAAAAGTGCTTTCGAAAGACGAGTGGCACCTTTCGAAATACAAAATGGCGTCTTAGTTATGACGCATTAAAGGGATAAATTCAAAATTTCGATTCCGACATTGGCAGATAAAACAAGGAAAAGTAACTAAATTCAATTGAAACTCGGTATTCAGGGGTTTTTGGGATCGCTGATTACGAATCTGAAGATAAAATTGTGAAATTCAAAATGGAGGATCGAATATGGAGACCAAAAAATAAAAAGTTGTTAATTTCAGCTGTAATTAACTCGGTATTCTGGAGTTTTTTGGGTCGCTGATTACGAATCTGAACTTAAAATTATGAAATTCAAAATGGCGGATCCAAAATGGCGAACATATTTTTCAAAAATCGAAGCGTTTTACTTCAAACGTGTTACTCGAGCGTTTTTGGGGTCGTTGAATACAGATCTGACATAGGATGTTTAAAATTCATAAAAGCACATGCGGACTAACTACTTCGAAACTTCCATGAAAATGAAATTTTTGACATAATTAAGTTTTTATTTTAAAAACGAATCCCTTTTCGACCCCCCTCGTGCCCCACGTGCCCCCTTAGGGATGGGGGGTCGTAACCCCCTTCAAAAGATAGATTTTTTGAAAAATCGTCTCACGTGTTTCAGCGTTTTTTTTAAATACCAATGGTTTTTGAAATATTTGACCGTTCCGAGACTTTTTCCCATCACTGTATATATATATACACATGCACGCATGCACACTCTAAAATTGAATTTAATATTATGTTTTATATTTACACATTATTATATACTGTCATAGTCTAATCTGTCGCAGTACACTCAGTATCCGAGAATGGATTGGATTTTGTCTATTCGAATTCGTATTTTAAATAGCGAATACTTTTTTGTGGATTCAATTGAATTCAATTGGATTCAATTAGATTCAATTAGATACAACTGGATTGAAAAACTGCGTTTACTATTCAAAACTATGAATTGAACAGTATTCACTGTGGTCACAAACGCACTGAAAAAGCTAATATCATTTTATGATTGAAAAGTATACAGATATTGCTCCATACAATTCCTATAAATGAATAAAAACGTATTCGGATTGAAAAGTATACAGATATGCTCCATGCAATTCTTATAAATGAATAAAAACGTATTCGAATTGAAAAAAATTCATTTTAACATTCACGAATCCGTATTTCTGAAAATTTAAATCCATTTTAATCCATTCTCGGATACTGGAGCATATCTCGTGTTTTTATATGATGACGTACCTATTTTGATTTTGTTTTTTGACTTGTCTTTCAGTTTACGTCGTGTATCTGCAACCTTAGCCATCCTCTTACTCAAAATTCTGAATAAAATTGAGAAAACAAAAAAAGAAAAACACTGAACGTGCCATGTGGTTCAGTAATTAAGATGCTACTGGATGCTGCCATGTCTTAAGCGGGGAGCACAGACTTTTGCATAACGCATAAACCATATACATAAAGAATTTGATTGGTCCATTGACTCATGCATAAGAAAATGGGCTAATGAAATTCCTTTTTTCTATATCGATGCGTTATATCTAGCGTCGATAATAATTTACCATACCGGCGCACAGTGGATCGAAACGTCGAAATCAGTGGACATGACATTTTTCTCATAACAGCAGTCCGACATTCATATGTTTCATGCATTTTAGGACGTAATTAGGTATAAATAAATAATATTAAATAGCATTTTCCAAAAATTTGAATTTCTAAAGTCTATTTTTTACAATAACAGAATTGCAATAATTAATTTCATATTTCGAAATTTTATTATTCCCTTTTGATGATAACAGCTGATACCACGTGAAGGTAGGGAATGAATCAACCTTGGGCAAGTTTTTATTTATAGGAGTGTAATTGAAATTTGAATTGCATGGGTTTGTAGGCTTACATTTACCCTCTTTTTTCGTTTTTTATTTATTTCATTTGGCGTTGAGGGTTATTTTTCGTATAATATTTTATTTAATCTGCGTTTGGGGCAAAGTGGGCGGGGCAAAGTGGGATGCCTTTCCGTTTTGATTCATCTTCACAGAGGTAACTTTTTCATAACTTTATGTCTATTTCTTCATTAGAAAATGGTTCGCACGTATAAAAGGAGGACGGAGCATCAAAATTGGTCCACAGAATCAATGATTCAGGCCATTTCAGTCGTTATTAATAACGAAATGTCCATTGCAAATTTATTATTTCATCATATTCAAATTATGCTGCGCTTGGAAGGAAATTTCAACAGCAACGATTGGTCGCGCCATATTCTTTTTTATGCCGGTTCTACATTAGTTGCAAGTCGATCGCTTGTTGCGACAGCCAATCTGAAGCGTTGATTTCAAAATGCAAGCTTGAGATTGGCTGTCGCAACGAACTTGCGATCGGCTTGCAACTAATGTAGAACCGGCTTTAGGGTGCTTCCACCTACGACACAAATTGTGACACAGAGTCACACAGTATCATGGTATCAGGGTGCTCCTTGGAACACATATGTTTCGATAAAGCCCCAATAGATGGTTCTATAGTCAACTATAACAAAAAAAATCTTACTCCTTTCGTTATCCATGCACTAAAATGAGAATCTAACAAGTATTGTGTAATACAATCAATCTCAAGTAATGTAAAAACATTCAACAACAGTATTCACAATTTTACGAGCTATTTAGGGTTATGTTCCTTTTAAGTTTAACAGGATGCCACTACAAAACACGCTTTTATTTTGTCATGGTTGGTACTTCTAGCGACACAGCACTGTAAAACTCATCTATTCGCCGTGTCGAGCAGTGTGACACTGTGTCGTTGCTGGAACGCTCAAAACCGAACACTGTGTAAAGCCTTGTGTCCACGATGCTAGAACTCGGTCCGAGTTCTAGCATCGTGGACACAAGGCTTAACACAGTGTCACCTGTGTCGATAGGTGGAAAGCACCCTTAGCCAATGAGAGTGACGACATCTTTGGCCGGACTCCCTATTATAGGGTCTCTACCTTGGCCTAGAGTCCTAGATATCAGAGAAACGCAATCGGCTTAAGTCAGTATCGCAAAATTACTAAAAACAATATTAAAAATGGCGTCATTTGCAGACGAACTATGAAATCCACCAATCGTCTATTAGTCAGCCATTTTTAATACCACTGAATGAATGTCATGATTGGTTGACAGTCAGCTAATCAGGACGCGGAACATCGATTGCGCTTCTCTGATATCTAGAACTTCTAGCACACCCAAGTTCAAACATTTTTAGGGATTTCAACGCGAACAAACCTATTGCTAAAGCCTTGTGTCCACGATGCTAGAAATCGGTCCGAGATCTCGGATGAAGAAAGAATTAACAAATCACATTTGAACAATTTGGTCACATGATCAATGTAATTGGTCAATTTTTCCTTTATTCGAGATTTCGGACCGATTTCTAGTATCGTGGACACAAGCCTTAAGAATCGTATTGCCAATCACCATAAAATTTAATGGTAAAACTCCTGACCCTCAAGCGCCGAGGTTGGCGGCCCTTCGACCTGAGCAGTCACTCGCTTCAAAAGAGTCGAAGTAAAGATGGACTCCTGAGAAATTTTTATACATACACACCAGTGGTCGTCCTCGATACTTCGGATCTTTCGAATATTTCACCGTTAAATTCTCATCGAGGTGCGCCCGGAGGGCCAGACATTCTTTTATGATCACGCTCGCGGGGTGTGAACGATGATCGTGCAGGAGCCAGTGCAGGTAATGGAAGAGAATAAGAGTGATGGAGGAGGAGAAGGAGGAGTGAAAAGTAAAAGTGTTGAATTTTCCTTGAACCTTGTTATCGCTGTGACATGCGAAATTTTGTGCATCGGCCCGCATCCACACGTTGATGTTTCGTCGATCGAGTCGTACCTCGACAGTTTTGATCGCGTCGAACGACTTCTACAATGGTCGTCTCTTAATAGCAGCTATTGTCTCTTAATGATAGCTTTTTCGCCCTCATTATTTATCCATTTTATTGATTTTCTAATCGTACATCTTCGAGTCTGTTTGCCTTGTCGCAAAAAAATAAACTGATCAAAAGAGGGTTTTGGCTATAAATATTTAATCGCAAAATTTTTACTCTACTTAAGAATTTTGGTAGATGGTCACTTGAGCTTGAAAATTGAATACAGAAAAGAAAACGTTTCTAGAATTTATTTATATCTATTGTGATCTGACAGATTATTAAGAAATTAACTTATGATTATGTTTATAAATCATATTAGTAAATTTTAACATTGTTCATGTATCAGTTAAATAATAAGATGTTGATCACATAGAATTAAATGTAATAAAGTTTTTTTTTTATGTACCAATTGTTTATATACCATTTTATAAATTCAAAGAATATTTATTGAATATATTCTATAGCATTATATAGTTAATTAAAATAATTCTTTTAAATATGTATATTAGCAACTAAATAGTATATTAACATATTGCATCATTTATGTAATGATAATAAAAAGTACTATATTTCTTTCTAACATTACATTTAAATATAAAATTTATAGATATATATTAGAATACTCACAAGTATTTTTCTCTAAATATTTTAATTTTTTATTTAATTAATTATTTACATTGCTATTGCACGATCATTTATCAAGATAAATGTTTGATTTTCTAATTTTAGGCGGCCATATGGCATTGTTTAAATCATTATGCTTATCCAGACGCTATATTCCTGGCAGAACGGTTGTGTGCAGAAGGTAGCATTGTCTACTTTGTTTATTGATTGCATTATTTTTATATTTTTATTATAAATTTGATTATATTTGTATGTACATACTGTATTATTACATTATTATTATAGTGGACACAGAGGAAAGTTTATTTCTTTTGGCAACATGTTACTATCGCTCTGGTCGGGTTAGGCAAGCTTATGCCTTATTATCCCAGAAGGCACCCAGTTCAGCACAATGTAGATTTCTATTAGCAAAGTGTTGTTATGATTTGGAAAAGTAAGTAATATAATGTTTTTTTCATTGTGCTCTATATAATGAGAATATGTGTTGATCTATTAAAAATTTTTAGATATGCGGAAGCAGAAGCTGCAATAATCGGTGGATATTACAAACAACTGAAAAATTTGGAAGAAATAATAACTCAGTTTGGAGAACAGGCATGCTTTTCTCTACAGATAATAGCAAAGATTTACTATAAAATGATGCGTACTGCAAGAGGTAATGAAGCTCATAAACTGGCTTTGAAATTAAATCCTTTCCTCTGGCACTCGTTTGAAGAACTTTGTAATGTTGGTGAGAAGGTGGATCCTTCTAAGGTTTTTCAGTTAGATAAACTAGACTCATTCGCTATGTGCCATGGTACTGTATCTACGATCAGCTACGTCACTGAACCAGATCTTATCGTACCTGGAAATAATGCCAACAATACACCTATATCTAATGGCACTAACAGGTATGTACACATTTGTACAATATAATAATTTTTTCAGATTTTAATATTGCTAAAGATCAATATAAGATGCCAAAAGAGCATCAAATAATTATTAAATTGTTAATCATTTCATTCCTGATGGTACTGCGGTAGTTGATTAGAGTTGCGTCTCAAGACTGACAATTGTTCGGTGCTCAATTTAGAAAGACTACATATATCAGTATATAAATTCATGCGAAATTATATATATAAGAAACTAAGATTCAACTAGACTGTTTTAAGTTTCGTATTAATAATTCATATTAATAGTTCATATTAATAATTTTTATTTTTCATCAATGTTTTATTATTTAATTAACATTTTTTATATATATATTACAGTACACCCGTGACGATAGCATCAACGCTGATAAATGGCGGTCAGGCACCTCAGGTGCGATTGTGTTCCTCTATAGAGGAGTCGCCACAAAATATGTCGATTCACTACAGCAATTGTTCCTCGATATCACCGAGGACGAAACTATCGCGTTATCGTAGTATGTTTAGTAATTCTATGAGTCCACTCACGCCTAGCTTTGGTATTTTGCCATTGGAGAACAATACACCCGAACAGACAGTTCCACCTTCGCATACGACTCTCACAGAAGCCAATGACCAAAAGAGCTTGGCGAAACGCGTTAGTAGTCTAAGAGCTCATGTAGGGGTGAGTACAATCTCTCAGTATCTCATAGTTATATAATGCATACAACTAATGATTTTCTTGCATCTTTCAGCAATTAATGTCAAGAAAAGAAACACCATTGCAACAAGGCAAATCGGTATTTTCCCAATCGGGTAATACTAGTAATACTGCCAATATTGTGACAGTGACGGCAGCTAATCCGACTTCACCTCCGTCACCGACATTTCAAGGCACCAATGTTAGACGATCATCACGACTTTTCAGCCATAATTCCGTAAAGGTACAATTTTTTGTTTAATTTCTTTTACTTCTGAACTAGGCATTACAAAATTTTTACACAAAAATTATTAGACATCTATCTTAATCGAATGTGGTTTTTTAAATTTATTTATCTTTTAATTACACTCCTTTATCAGTTTTTATTATACATTCTATCAATTACTATCAATTTGATATGACACATATATTTCAGGAAAACAATAAGTCACCTAATAGGAATAAATTTGCAACTCCAAAATCTCCATCTCGGAAGACGAAAGCGAGACTAGCCAAGGCGAATTTAAATAAAACCAACTTTAATGAGCTAAACGAGAGGAATAGGAACGAAAAGGAGAAAAGCGAAACGATCACATCTGAGAAAGCTGTGGCTAATGCAAACGCTCTTAACGCTCAAAATAATAATATTCACTCTGGTATAACATTACAAAAGCAATCAGCAGGTGTGTTAATTATTTTATTAATTTATTTGATATTTTTTTGACTATAATATAATTAAAAATGTTTTGTCTGCAATTTTTCAGAGGGATTGATGTCTTTGTTACGAGAATTAGGAATGGCGTATCAGCATTTAAGTCAGTTCAAATGTACGCATGCGGCTCATATACTGAGTATACTACCGTCACGACACTACAATACGGGCTGGGTACTTTCTATGTTAGCTCGTGCACACTTTGAAATGATGGATTACAAAAAGGCTGCTAGGTAATAAATTTATATCAATTGTCATTAAAGAAATATATTGATTTTTGGTACTTTCTTCTATGTATGAAATAGACGTACGTTCAAATCTTAGAGCGAAAAAACGTTAAGAAAAATGAAACGTTAGAAATCCAATTAAAACAGATTTTTTGTTTCTGATACATTTATAGATTTTGCGTCGCATGCTCCAATATGCTTTAACTACGCTTCTATCACAGCTCACTCCAACGTGTTGAGTGATTAGAAGTTATGATAGGAACATGTTGGAGTATGTAGGCGTGTATGATAAAAATAAATCTTGTACCATATTTCTCTTTAATTCTTTATTTTTTTTGTGTTAGAAGGAAGTGCCGCGCCACTTGCTGGAAATGTTTCGGTCGAACCTCATGCCGATGACAGCGACGATAGTTTATGAAAACGATATGCGAGAAGACTTCCGTGAAAAAGAGATGGAGCGTTATTATTTGAGCCACAGAGGACAGAATTGATGGAGATTTATAGCACTGTTCTGTGGCATTTACACGCGGAAGTACAGTTGTCTACGCTTGCTCAAGATCTAGTTTCCCAAGATCGTAATTCGGCAGCAGCATGGTGCGCCACGGGCAATCTCTTCTCAGCGCAAACGGAACACGAAACTGCGATCAAATTTTTCCAAAGAGCTATTCAGGTACTATACATTAATTTTAATTGTAGTGTAAAATGGAGCAGTGCATATATGACTTATTGTATTCAAAGTAATATACCGTTTTTTTTATTACTTATTAGGTGGATCCTAATTTTCCATACGCCTATACATTACTGGGGCATGAATACGTTTTGACTGAGGAGCTAGATAAAGCGATTACTGCTTTTCGTAATGCCATCAGA